ATGGGACTGTTAATATTTCACTTTATAAACGAAGCCTTCCGATAATGTTGCACAGTTGTTATGACGATTTGGAAGTATTTCCTTCTTTTGGCATATGCATACCTCACATTTATTTGCTATTTCTGCAGTTGCTTAGGCCAGTCGATGTCTAAAATGAGGTAACGAATCAAAGAAGGCTTCCAATCGACTTTTAGACTACTCTGCACCTCAGTCAGCTATCCTGTGATACGATAGAGAGTGAACGGACTAAGGCTAAATGTAGGGGAAAGGTATTATTGAGCTATTTCTCGGTTATTTTTAGCCTCTTTTCTGCCGGTCTTGCCCAAACAGAACGAAGGACCGGACAGGGGAAGACGCCGGCAGCCAATCAATCAGAGCCAGCATTCCTCTCGTATCGATATGCATACTACCAAGCGTAAGTCTCAACAAGTGGGAGAGAGAAGCATCAGTTGAAGATTGGAAATTTAGGAGAGTGGAAGAGTGGAGGATTCGAAGAATGAAATTGTGGAAATTCGGAATATTGGAAAAGTTGAAGAGTGAAAAATTGAACGAATTGAAGATTGGAAACGAAAAAGAGTGAAAAATTGGAAGAGGGGTGAAGAGATTCGAAGATGGGTTCCACCAGAAGACGACGGCGGATTCCTCTTGACCAGCTGATGATTGGCTTTAATGGAAGATTCATGCTGACGTTGTTTTTGAGGCAAATAACATACCATTACAGATGTTGGTTTAAATATCTAGATTCATTTGAATTAATATGAGTGTGGAGACGGAGCTAGGGAGCATAATATCAATTGGTCCCTAATGTTTGTGTGTGTGTGTGTGTGTTCTTCGTGTTAATGCATGTAGGGGGATATAACTAGTGACATACCTGGATATGGAGCTTACTGACAAACGTACAAATGCACCATTAACTGCAACCCTAGGATCAGGTGGGACTGCCTATTTGAGAGACAAGAGGCCATACAGAAGGCCACACCATCCTGGTCAAAGATGGTGTGGTATTCTGTCGCCTTTAGCTTTATAGTGTGAGATAGACCGGTCTCCACAATTCGGTCGAAGCGTCAGGGAGAGCTTGTGGAAGTTACCCAGTTCTGTGTCCTCTGCCATAGTATTCGTGATTTCCAGCTGTAGTGAATCTGTCTTTCGTCCGTCTTGATCTGGAAAGCCAAATGGGGAATATATTTTGTATTTCGGATTGAAATGAAGGCAAGCAAGGTCATTTTAGTGAAGCGCAACTTGAAGAATAAAAAAGAGAGTTGTAAATGGAAATCATCCCATCAATCTTGGCTCATCAATAACCCGCGGATAGGAGCAGTATAACACAGATCAATATAAATTGAAAAAAGACTATGAAATAGTCCTACAAGCTGATAGAGCAGATGACAAAGTTATGATGGTCAGAAAAAAATATAGGGAGAAAATGGAAAATATTCTTGTGGACACTACAGCGTATCAACGACTAACAAAAAAACAAACATAGAAGTTGTTTGACCTTGTTTTCGCAACTTGGTCATAATGGTAGGAAGACTGATAGAAACGCACC